TTATAATACTTGTGCACTTGACATAATTAAATGCCAAACCAATAATAAATGGTTCTAAGATATGTCAACACATAAGATTCTGATGACCTTTGCAGCTGGAGGGGCTGGTGAAAAGGGAGGGAAGTGGTGGATGGTAGGAGTGTTCTTAATTAGAATTAGAAAAAAATTTTTCAAACCATAAGAATTGAAAACAAATATCTATGCATCTTAACTAGTGTAAGCTATACTATCTTCACAGATTTTGGAGGGAAGCACAGGCCAGGAGGGAACAAAGCTAGGCAAAATCTATTTTAATTACCTATTTGTCCTGAGATCCCTGTGTATTCTCTTTGAAAATTGGGCTGCATTATCGACACATCACTTAGCCCTCTGGGACTAAGTTCTAAATTAAAATAAGGCTTAGCCTCGCACAAGTTTTAGCTCTTGAAGTCTTTCTACTTTGGTGGAAAGAAAAAGCAAGGGGGGAACAGCAAAATAAAGAGACTGAATTTCTAAGATTTGGAGAAGCTTGATTAAGACACCCAATCCCCGAAGACACCCACCTTCAGGAAGTGAAGACAGGAAGGAGGAAGTAAGTTGTAGAAGGGATCCTAGTCCTGGCAAAACACACTGACCAGTGGGGAACTCTAAGAGAGAAGAGCTATTCTAAAAGGAAAGGGAGCTTCATGTGTGGTGGTGCACACCTGTAGCCCCAGCTACTCCAGAGGCAGAGGCGGGAGGATGGCTTGGGCTCAGGAGTTCGAGGCTGTAGTGAGCTATGATCACACCTGTGAATAGCCACTGAACAGTTTGGGAAATATATAGACACCCCATCTCTGAAAGTAATAATAATAATACTAATAATAGAAAGAAAGGAAAGGAAAGGGAACATGTACTAGTCACTCAGAAGCCATTTTTGTCCTCTCCTATCCAACACTCTTGGGATGTACCTATGAGCCTACTTACGAATGCAATACCTAGATTTACCAAATTGAGGGACAGAGGGAATCTTCTAAGTTCTATGATGTCTAGAAGAATTTCTCCTACATTTTCTTCTCGAATTTTTATGGTTTCATGCCTTACATTTAAGTCTTTTATCCATCTTGAATTAATTTTTGTATATGTCAAGAGATGGGGTTCCTGTTTCATTCTTCTACATGTGGCTATCCAGTTTTCCCAGCACCATTTATTGAATAGGGCTTCCTTTCCCAATGTATGTTGTCTGCTTCGTCGAAGATCACTTGGTTGTAGGCAGATGATTTTATATCTGGATTCTCTATTCTGTTCCATTAGTCTGTGTCTCTACTTTTATACCAGTATCATGATGTTTTTGTTACTATACCCTTATAATATAATTTGAGGTCAGGTAATGTGATGCCTTCAGATTTATTCTTTTTGCTTCAGATTGCTTTGGGTATTTGGGCCCTTTTTTGGTTCCACATGAAGCACAGAATTATTTTTTTTTTAGATCTGTGAAATATGACATTGATATTTTGATGGGAATTGGGTTGAATCTGTAAATCACTTTAGGCAGTATGGACATTTTAACAATGTTGAATCTACCAATCCATGAGCATGAGATGTTTTTCCATTTTTTTTTTTTTTGTCACATCTGCAATTTCTTTCATCATGTTTTATAGTTCTCCTTGTAGAGATCTTTTGCCTCCCTGGTTAAGTATAATCCTAAGTATTTTATTTTCTCTGTACCATATGAATGGTAGTGAGTCTTTGATTTGACTCTCAGCTTGCCTGTTATTATTCTATAGCAATGTTAATGCTTTTTCTGCATCTACTGAGATGATCATGCAATCTTTGTTTTTGCTTCTGTTTATGGGATGAATCACATTTATCGGTATGATTTTTTTTCATCAGAACCCCATTTTGAGACTGTAGCTCTAGTCTATCAGCTAGATTTTAGACTGGAGACCTGCCAGATCAACATCATGTGTGGTTTGGCCTGAAATGGTAGGTTTCAGTCATGATATGGACTCCTTGAACTAGAAGCTAATAGAGCTAATAATATTCAAGCTCTAAGATAGAAAGGAACTAGGCAATATAGGTAGATTTCCTGTAAAGATGCTTTGAAAATAAGACAAATTTTTGTATTGAGAAAAATTATTTAATTATGGTCAAGAGATGAAAAATCAGTTTGTAAATCTTCCAGAGAATTTTCTGGGTGCAGAATTAGCTCTAGGATGACTTTTAGTCTTTGAATGGATAATTGGAAGGGAGGTGGAGAACTGCTAAAACAGAAGCTAAAAGAGAAAATGTTGCCAAAACCAAGTGAAAATGATTCCTATTTTTCCAAGCATGTATATTTTTCTGATTTCATATTTTTTGAATTCAAATTCTTGAGTCTAAAGCTAATGAGCCAAAGGGGTGTGGAACTAAAGCTCGATATATTTGATTCAAAATATACTTTGTGCAATGCTTGTTGTAATTAGGACCGTAGTTTTTTGCTGTTTGTTTTTGTTCTAAGGAGATGCAATTTATCTCCTCCTTGTTTTTGGTCTAAGGAATCTCCTCCTTGTTAAAATAGCTGGCTTAGGAATCAGACCTAGAAGACTGGAAGCTGCTTCCCAGTTCCAGAAAACATCTTTAGGTCTTTGTTCATGCTCATGAGCTCTCTGTTGGAGTTTAGATGCCTTGAAGCACAAGGAAACCAAACAGTAAAGGTGGAACCTGGGCAGAGGCACTGTTTCTGGCTCCCTAAAAATGTGAAAAATTAAATTGGGGCTATCTTTACATTAAATTATATGAGCAGAAAGACAAAATGGCAGACTAGCCTTCCAGATAGTATTAATATATTTTCTGATGAGAACATGCTAATGGAACTTTCACTCCCAAAGTTATGAGGAAATTATTCTTCCATAACTAAAAGTTTATTTTGTTCTGGTATCAAATTTAACAAGGGAGAGAGAAAGAGGAAAAGCATTGGGTATCTTTTCATTAACTCAGACTTGATTTCTTGGTCTCTAGGTCACTGTACAGT